GCTTGATATATTATTCGTAGATAATATTTCAGTTAATCTAATTTTTTAGTATGTGAGAAATATGTACATCCCATCTCAAGTGGGGATCTAGATAAATTCCTAAATATTTTGTATCATTAACTCTATTGATTTTTATATTTTTATCATTTACCTTAAACCGAAGGTGGTTATATTTTGGTAGATGATTAGATAGTGATGAAAATGTTAAAAAATGAGTTTTAGTAAAGTTAATTGTTAATTTTCGGTTATTAAACCACTGAATAATTTTGCAAAAGTCATTTTGGATAATATCTTTTAAGTCGTTACAATCCTTACCTTTATAGAGTATAGCAGTATCGTCTGCAAAACTGACTATTTTACCAGTACTGTTAATTTTGAATATATCGTTTAAATAAATATTGAATAACAGAGGACCCAAAATTGTACCTTGTGGAACACCACATTTAACAAACATTTCTTTACCATACGAGCTTAATAATTTTACTGATTGCGGTCTATTTGATAAATAATTTTCCATTAAAGTATACATCTTTCCACGAAAACCTATTCTTTCTAAGATTTCCAAAAGTATATTGTGGTTAACTGTGTCAAATGCTTTTTGTAAGTCCACAAATACGCATATAGATGGTACTTTTCCATCTATATTTTGGGTTATTGCATCTACTATACTTAATATCCCATCTGTTGTAGATTTGCCCGCTATAAAACCATATTGATTTGAATTTAGAATTTTGAATTTATTAAGAAAATTAATCATTTTATTAAGGAGTAATTTCTCAAAAACTTTAGCTAAACTTGATATAAGTGAAATAGGTCGATAGTTAGTCACGTCTGTATTATCATTAGAGTTATAGATATGTATGATGATTGCTGTCTTGAAAGCTGATGGAAATACTCCAGATTGGAAGGATTTGTTAATGATATAAGCAAGTGGTTCTGTTATTTGTTTGGCCAGTATCTTTAGATGTTCAGCTCTAATTTCGTCAACTCCAGGGCTTTTTTTATTTTTTAGAGTCATAATGGCATTGAAAACATCCTGATAGTCTACTTCAGTTAATACAAATGAATTATTCAGTCTTGTTTCATGCAGATGAATATCAGCATTTTGTTTGATATTATTTGCTAAGTTTCCTCCTATATTCGTGAATTCTATGAGCTCATCACATATTTGCTGAATATTGTCTGTTTTCTGTCCTGTTTTTGTTTTTATTTCATTAATATTGTTTTTTGAATAGGATGACTGATTGAATATATCATTGACAGTGGAACATAGGTGTCTAGAGTCATGTGAATTATTATTCAGTTGTTTTATATAGTAATTTTTTTTTGCTTTTCTCAAAAGTTCTATAAATTTGTTTTTATACTGATTATAATGATCTATATTTTCTTTCGTGGGTAAATATTTCATGATTTTATACAGTCTTTCTTTTTCGTTTGCAGATTTTATTAGTCCTTTGGTCATCCAATCATTTCTGCTTTTTTCCTTGTGACTTATTTTAACCTTATTAGTGCTAACTTCAATTACTTTTTGAATTTTGTGTATTAATAAATTTGTAGCTTCGTCTAAAGAATTTGTTAAAAAAATGTCGTCCCACGATTCCGTTTGTGCGTTAAATATTAATTTTGAGTTGTCAGTGAAATATTTGTATTCAAGGTTTCTTTCATTTTTTGCCCTTGGGCAGTTCTGGTTTTTATTTTGTGAAGATATCAATAATACAGTGGAATAATGATCTGTAATATCGGTTTCATAGATAATAGGCATGTAAGAAAAAATATTGGAAATATCCTTTATAAAGCAGTGATCAATGCAGGTTTTACTGGTGGGTCGTGTTACTTTATTTATGTATGATGAAAAACCATTACTTGATAAAATGTTTAAATATTCTTTCACCATAGAATTTTCCTCTAAAATGTTTATATTGATGTCGCCTATAAATATTTGATTATGAAGGTGATTGTTTTCATTGTTTTTTAATAGTTCATCTATGTCTCTTATAAATGTATGAGGATCTGAAGATGGTGGTCGGTAAACACAAGTAATTTTGACTCTACGATTTTCAATTTGCATTGTTAGATTGATACCTTTTAGTTCATTGTTGATTGTAAATATGGTATGGTTATAAGGCAGATTGTTTCGTACATACACCATCACTCCATCGTTTTGATTATGGTTACCAAAATTATACAATGTATCGTACCCTTCTAAATGAAACAGAGTCACATCGCCCACTTGCCATGTTTCGGATAGAATGATAATATCTATATCACTTTGTATTCTTTTCAAAATTAATTTAAAGTAGTCAAAGTTATGTTTTATACTTCTGATGTTCATATGATAAATTCTAACAGATATTTCAGGATTTTGTAAAAAAGAATCTAGCTCGCTAGTATCATGAGCAGTATTAGTACTAATACGTTGAATTTGGAAGTTATACTAAGTGACATATAAATCCGAACACCCAGTTTAAATGGTTTTATTTTAATAAAATTTTGTATAAGTACTTAATGAAGCATAATAAATAAATGATAAAAATTTCAAAATGATTGCACTGCTTTAAAGCCCTTTGACCTTTACTAATGTGTGGATGCACCCTGATGTGCTACGCATTCTCCAACGCGCCTAGGCATGCTTCTGATCAGGTGGTCAATGTCCTCCTGTGGTATCTCATTCCAGGCAACCACCAACTCCTCTCGAAGTGCTTCTAGAGTCTGAGGAGGACGTTGCAAATTGAGCAATCTCCTACCCATCATATCCCACACGTGCTCAATTGGGGATAAGTCGGGAGATCTTGGTGGCCATGGTAACAATGTGACATCATTATGTTGAAAGAAGAAAGAAGTCTATTGTGACTCTTGCAACATGTGGTCGGGCATTATCTTGTTGGAAAGTTGGATCTGCCAGGGTGTCAAGATAGGGTAAAAGATGGGGTTCTAGAACTTCGTGAATATAACGCTGCGCGTTCATGTTACCTCTGATGAAGATTAAAGGTGACCTGGAACCATAAGCTATAGCACCCCAAACCATAACTCTAACAGTGTGATGAATATGTCTTTCAACAAAAAACTGTGGATTCCTCCTTTCACCACGTCGCCTTCTAACCCTGGCATGACCATCGAGCATGCCTAAACAAAACCGAGACTCGTCACTAAAAACAATACTGTTCCATTCCTGATCCCAGAGTGACCGTTGTCTGCACCACTCAAGGCGATTACGTCGGTGTTCTCGAGTTAAAGGGAGGACCCAGTGTGGCCGGTATGAAAACAAGCCAAAACTTCTCATTCATCGGTATACACTTCGCAAGCCAATAGGTCTTCCGTGTTCTGCAAACCATTCATTTGCAATGGACCTGGTAGTGGAGAAACGGTCCCTTAAGGCCAATAATCTTAGGCGGCGATCTTCACGGTCTGTTGTTCTACGGCGGCGTCCAGTGCCCCTTGCTCTTTGCGTACGACCTTCTCGAAGCCATGCCTGACAACACCTAACCACAGTGTCTACACTTCTTTGCACTCTAACTGCAATTGCCCGAAAAGAACGTCCAGCTTCCCGAAGTCCCACTATACGGCCCCTATCAAACTCACTAAGTTGACGAAATCGTACAGGTCTCCGTACTCTAGGCATCGTAACCGATCGTAAAGGATGTCAAGAACCAAAATCCGCGAACGTTGATTCTTTACTGCGGCTGAAATATTCATTTTTAGAGCGTTAGTGAATAAAAAAAAGCAGTATAAAAACCGGAATGTCCAACTGATAAGTCTAAAAATTTTTTCACTTGTTATTTACACCAAGATACATACATTCACCAACTTGTATTAAAATAAAACCATTTAAACTGGGTGTTCGGATTTATATGTCACTTAGTATATTTACATAGTCGTGTGTCATAAATGATGCAATATTCTAAAATTTTGGCTAAAATTTCTTCTTTCTGGAAAAAGGATTTTCAAGTTGTACTGCTGCTGATAATATAGAAAAGTTGGACATTTTTTATCTAATGGTGAGCGGTTGGTACTATAATTTTTGTTATATCTATAGTTTGAAAATTTGCAATTACAACATACAACTGGATCATGCTTACAACAGTCAGTATCGTGTACATCCTCTTTGCTGCAGTTGGTACAGGTCTTGTTATTGCGGCATTTTTTCTCGGTGTGATTGAAGCGAAGACACTTCTTGCATTGCGTTATTTCGTTATTATCATACACTGGTAAACATTGCCATCCAAGAAGAATTTTTCCGTTGTTATCTTCAAATATTGCCCTGAATAATTTGCCAGAAATGTCTGCAAATAATGTGTAACATTTTTTCGATGGGAGATACTTTACATATTTGATTTTGATGTCATCTTTTTCAATAAAATGATTTTGTTGGATAAGATCTAATTCTATGTCTTGTTCATGTGGTTTCTCCGTGCATCTATAATTGACAATTTTGATCTTCGGTCTAAACATTGTAGGTTCTGTGATTTTGTATTCATCTCCTAATTTCTTTTCGAATGTAGTTTTGAGTGTGTTGTGGTTTAATTATATTTCCTCCATTTTTAGAATTTCGTATATTTTCTATTTGTATTTTCAAATCCGCAAGGCTAATTTTTTTGTTAAGGTCTTTTCTCGTTTGTTCAGATGTTTGGATATCATTTGGTGTGACAATTATGTTCTTCATTGGGTCTTTCTTGATTGTTGGAGCATCTCGCCTTAGTACTTGGGCATATGATTTCTCTTTAATTTTCTCAATTTCAGTCAATCTTTGATTTATTTTATTTATCACTGTTTCAACGGTACCTTTTTCGTGTATGGCTGATGTCGCTAAATTGTACTGTTCTTGTAGTCTTCCATTTTCATTGCTCAACTGTAGTATTAGTTTATACTTTTCTTCTAATATCTGTTTTAAGTGTTTATTTTCTTCTAGAATCTTCTGAGTGTCCAAGTTTCCATCAATGTAAACTTCCATTGTATCTGATTTTTACGTTGAGATCTGGTTTTTAACTTTTTTCTTCGGCATCATGCATATATATCAACTCAGCAGCAGCAACACTCAGTATAGCGTGAAGCCACAGTTGAAATATTACTTTTATTGGTCCAGAAGTAGACACAGCTTGACAGTTTCCTTTGGTAGTAAATTTAAAATGGCTGAAAATGGTGCAGATTGTGCTGTTCGTCTCACCAATATTTCCAGGGATGTGTCACTGTCTTATATACGTTTGCCGCCCAGCGATATTAATTAAAATGATCTAGTTTTTTGAAACTTCTCGTGATAAAGGTGAGTTCTTTAACTAGTATTTTTAGTAGACTTGAAATACTCAGTTATTTTGGAGCGTCATGGAAAATTTGTACACCAATTTTTGGGGGAAAACTTTTCATTCGACAACAAAGAATGAGAAAACGTGTTTTTTTTTTGGGGATTCAATCAAAAATGTTGGCAGGAACGAAAAAACTTACATACAAAATTTTTTGTTATTTATCAGACCTACAAAATGAGACCACACGTAAAAAGATCCCACTAATAGCAAAAAAGCTATGGCCAAAAACCGAGGTAAACTCCAGGTTTTGACACTTGTTGGTAATGCGACGATGATTTCTTGCAGATATTTGAAATTCTTCAAATTCGTAGAATTCGTACCTCTAAATAACCACAACAAAATTAAATTGAATTGGTGAAGTAGTTTGTGAGGATTTCTAATTGCTTATCCCAAAACAGCTGTTTTCCGGCTATCACTACTAGTTTATTGAGCAATATACAGGGTTAGCTCTAACGGCATTTTATAGCAAGATACCTTGCCGATATGAATCGCAAACCACTCCGGGAGATAAATGTTACTTTTATGTAAAAAATTATGGGTTACGTTTTTTCTTCTAAATAAATTCAAATATTCCGTATTTGTGAGTAATTCGCAACAAAAGATGATAGACACGTTTTGAAATCTGTATAGTAACGTATGTTTTTCGAACATCGTAGCGCATTTTAAATCTAGATCGTAAAACCAAGCTGTTGTATGATTTCCTTGAGGCATATAATTTGACAGCTTATTGAATCTCCTACTAGAATAACCAAATCTACGAGTACATTAATAGATTTGCTCATAGTAGGTGATCCGGATGACTTCACTTCTGTCGATACACTTGATGCTGGTATTTCAGACCATTGTGTTTTGACTTTTAAAATTAATTTCCCTAAGGCAAGTAGATATGAGAAGTTTTTAAGATACCGCGATTATTCAAAGTTTGACGCAGATTTATTTTATAACGGTCTACATTCCGTTAGTTGGAGCCTCATCTACACACTACCAGATGTAGACTCTATGGTGGATCTTCTTGAAGTAAATCTTAAAACTCTCTTTAATCGCCACGCACCTTATCGTCAAGTGAGGGTTAGTAAGCCGCCTGCTCCTTGGCGTACATATAATTTAAAAATAATGTCACTTAGAGATAAAGCTTTTAAAAAATATAAATGTATTAAAAGTACAGCGGCTTACAACTACTATACTGAGTTAAGGAATTATGTTACTGGTGCGATCAGAAGAGAGAAAGCTGCCTATTTGAGTTATACCCTCACCAAAAGAAATCAAAAATCAACATGGAACTCACTTCTTTGGAGATTCTGCGCGAAATAAAAGTTATCTGAACTACCATCCAAGTTAAAGAATAGCAACACTATGAACGCATATTTTAATAGCGCCCCAAATCTGGCTAAAAGTCAACTTCAAATTGATATCTGATATGATAGAGTATATCACGTTCATTTTAAATTTCTCATTCACATCTGGAACATTTCCTCTTGCATGGAAGCATGCTTCGGTGAGGCCAATACCTAGATGTAACTCACCTGATGAGCTCTCTGACCTAAGACCGATTAGTATTCTGCCTACCCTATCAAAACTCCTAGAACCCATCATGAAAGACCAAATGCTTACCTATGCTATTCAAAATAATATTATTACTAGCTTCCAGTCAGATTTTCGTCCTCATCATAGCACCTCCATGGCTTTAATGAAGATTACGGATGATCTTATTAGAGCAACTGATCAAGGTAATTGCACTTGTCTTGTGTTACTCGACTTCAGCAAAGCTTTCGATACCTTAGACCACGACACGATCCTTCGGTTTTTCTTATAACTCGGTTCTACTTCTTGAGAGCTACTTAAAAAATCGCACTCAGAGTACAGTTATAGATGATAATTACTCTTCCTTGTTGAATAAGGTTTTCGGTGTTCCACAAGGTTCGGTCTTGGGTCCACTCCTTTTCAGCTTATACACAAGTGACTTTCATGATTCTGTTAATTTTTCTAAGTTACATCATTAGGCCGACGATACCCAGATATATACAGGGTGACTTCGAAGTTGAGTCATTTATTTTAACAGTGAGTAGATCTGATCAAAAGAAATGTTTTTTTCCTTTAACATTTTTCTGGTAAAATTAAAGTAACAAAGTTATAGCCCTTTAGAAGTTTGAGTACCGCCCTGTCTTAATAATAATATTATGTGCTCGTGTTTGGCAACAACGGATATAATCCGCCTTATCGGTTCATCGCATCGGAAACAAAAAAGCGAAAGAATTTGAAACGATGTTTTTCGTCAGTCGGTAACGCGTGAGTGAATAGTGGTGTTTGTTGCGTGACTCAAACGAAATCAAAAATGGCACATGTTTACGAAAATGCTGAACTTGTGGACATGATTCTTATTTACGGGGGGGGAGTCTTTACAAAATGCTGCCGCGGCATCACAGATTTGCGCGAATCGGTTTCCCAATCGAGTGCAACCAACCCCTCGTGTCTTTGTTAATGTAGTACAAAGGGCTCGTGAATCAGGTGACTTAAGACCTCACAGGGGAGGGCATGCCGGTGCTCCAAGACCGCACGATCAAATACAGGTCCGCACTGAAATACTTGTCGGGAGGATACTTTATAAAACAAGGTAACATTTTTTTTTATTTTTACACACGTATTTTGGTTTATCTTCCTTCTACAATCATTATCTGAAAATTAATGACTCAACTTCAAAGTCATATCGTTCTCCGCATCCAAAGCTGTTACTGCACAGATTGAACTGAATAAAGATTTAAAATCTCTATATAACATATCTATAGCTCATAATTTACAGCTAAATCCGAAGAAATCACAAGTCATAGTTTTTGGCAATAAAAATAAAAGACCTAATCTGCATGGCACATTTTCAGTTACTATAAATGATGTATCTTTGCCAATAATCAGTGAAAACAAAAAATCTTGGCATATGGCTGGGCTCTGATCTAAGATATACAAAACATGTTAGTCACTTGTGCCAAGTCTCCTATAACGTGTTAAGACAACTTTATCCCAGCAGGACTATATTATCAAAATTCATGAAGGTCAAACTATGTGAAGCTTTGATTTTGTCTAAACTGGCTTACTGTGACTGCATATATGGACCTGCCCTTTTGCAAACAGATATTCTACGCATTCAGCGAATTCAAAATTCTTGCATCAGGTTTGCATATGATATCCGAAAGTATGACCACATCAGTGAGAGCCTTATGGATTCTGGTTGGCTTACCATGATTAACATAAGAAAACTTCATTTTCTCACATCAGTACACAAGACCGTTACTAGTGGATTACCTACTTATCTATACAATAAACTTACCAGACTGCTTGATAATAAAGTAACTCGAAATAAACATCTTTTGGTTATTCCTAAACCTTCAGCAGCTCTGTTTAAGCGCAGCTTTTCATACAATGCTGCGAAACTGTATAACAGCTTGGCAGTAGATCTCAAGAATCTGAGCCTCCGAAATTTTAATAAAAGATTGAAAGCTGATCTCCTGCACGACCAAAGACCTAAAGTATAAGCAAACCTCGCTACGTTTTAAAGGATAATTTCCCAGTATGTTTCTTTTTAAGTCGCCTTGTTCTTTTTTGCATGAATTGTGCTCTCATAAAAACTGCATTGGCCATGCTCTCGTATGTTCTGTTTTGTATTGCATATTATCTTTTTTTTTATATATATATTTTGTATGAGTGTTATTTTTTTGTGGGTTTAGTTGAAAAGCAGCTTAGGCTGAACTAAGCCTTTCATCATTATATCTTTAATTTTTTTTTGTTTTATCCTCAAGTTATTTATAATGATGAATAAATATTATTTATTATTATTATTATTATTATTTGTTCAGTTACTCACAAATACGAAATGTTTGAATTTGTTTAGAAGAAAAAAGCGTAACCTTCGTTTTTTGCATAAAAATAAAATTTATCTTTCGGAAGGGTTTGTGATTCATATCGGAAAGGTCAACACGTGTATTTAGCTAATAAATTCTCTTCGAATGAACCCTGCATATTGCTCAATAAACTTGTGGTGACGGCCGGAAAACAGATGTTTTGGGATAAACAATTAAAAATTCTCAAAAACTTCTTGACAAATCGACTCCAATTTTGTTGTGGCAATTTGAAAGTATGAAGCCTACGGATTTGAAGAACTTCAGGTGCCAAAACCTGCATATTGCCTCGTTTTCCGGCCATAACATGTTTGCTATTAGTCTGATCTTTTTACGTGTGATCTCATTCTGATAGTGATAATATCCTGTCACATTTAACTAAAGAACCACTGCTTCGTTGAGAATTAGTACCAACCGCCTTAACGTTTCAACACACCGCCCATGGATGTACAACTCATATTACGTTTCGCAGCTTTAGCTTCGGATTTATGGTACATATCGGGGATGCGAAGTGTTATTGTGTGCTCCAGATCCGAATGACAAATGATTATTTACGGCCTCTAAATCCTTAGGAGTTCAAAGTTAAGGTCTGCGTGGCTAGAACGCGGGACTCGTCTTAATGCCAGGATGTATGGAGAAAGGTTTCTGGTGTATGGCGGAAGGATTAGATACACAAGCGCACAGATGAAAAATTTGATACCTTGTGAATTTATGAGATTGGTTGGTTAAAGCAGAAGTGGCTTAGAAAACGGATAATAATACTATACGTACCAACGGATAGGTGGAGTGTAGTATTGGCATGTTAAGATGCAAAATGGAAAACTCTCGAGGTTACAGCCTTAAAGCAATCGAATATCAGAGAACCAGAAAAAAAGTTTATTTTTTGCTCATGTCAAGCTTTCGTCTTTGGCAATATTGTAAATTGGTGTTTTCTTTTCAACCCTTTCTAAAACCAAATTTATATGGAACGTTCCTGGTGGCTTGAAAAACCTCTACGCTAGATTTTCAAGTACTTTTAATCCATTAGTATTGGATTTA